CTTTCAAATACATATATACCTATGATAAAATTTTAATTCATAAATTAGGCACAGTAAGATATTAACAACAATAGTGAATAATAAAATAGAACAGTTATAATAATATGCCAGCACGCCTACTCTTTCATTTTGGTCACATTGTTAAGTAAAGTAGGAGTGACTTGAACACAAGCACTGCAATACCACAATAGTCGATCTCATGACAGAGACAGCTACTAAGTGACTGATGGACTGGTTGCCTATGGAGCATGGAGATGTTGGACAAAGGGAAAATTCACATCCCATGCAGGGTGGAGCGAAATGCAAGTTTTCATCAAGCTACTCAGAACAGCATGCAATTTAAACATGAATTGTTTATTCCTGAAATTTTCTATTTAATTTTTTTGGACCATTGTTGATTATAGTTACCTGAAAACCATGGATAAGGAAGGAATACTGTATAAGGTAAATTACTATATGATGTTGTAGTTTTCTTACTCTGATGCCTCAGCGTTCTCTAGCTCATTTAATTGTCAGTGTATTTGTTTTGTTCAAATGCCCGTTCTAGCCCATTTTACTGAGAACATTTTACTTACATTTAAAGGTTTGACTTATGCCTTCCAAAGCAAATTTTCTTGGGCCATTTCTACTTTCCAACCCAAACCAAGTTAGACATTCTCAAGTTTGTCTTCACTGAACTTAATATTTAACATATGCATCATATTGGATTGTAATTGCCATCACAAAATATGACCTTCTTCCTTCAAAAAGATCATGAGTTCTTCATTTGTATGTTCCCAGAGCCTAACACAGTACTCTCTGCACACTGTAGATTCTCAATAAATGTGGGTTTCATAAATGGATGATGTTAATTATAAGCACATATGTCAATTACATCACTATGCTGTGGTTGATTCAGTAGCATCACATGAGCATGTAATCAGAAAACTATGCACAAGATCAAATGTATAAATGTTGCTCTCAAATTACTCTTTGATGACTGCATACCAGCTGAGTCTTAAACATAAGCTGACATATCCTGAACACTGCAGGAACTCAATAAATAATTAGAAAAATAATTAAAAAGTTGATTTAACCAATTGATGATTCTAAACCTTGATATTTTTGAGAAAAATACATTCACATCAAAGTAAACATTATTAATGTATTTAAAATTCAAAGATCAAAAATGTATTCAGGGTTAGGTTCTTATATCATACATTATTAAGATATAAATACCCCTGATTGCATGTTGTGCTTATAGAAATTGTGAAGGGAGTTCACATTTACGTATCAGTGTGTGAGTCACCAAAAGGAGTAGTTACAGGAAAAAAAATTTATTTATCATAAGAGGAAAAAGAGAAATTCTTCGAAGCCATATTGTTTGTTAGAAATGAAGAACTGGATGAATAAAATTGAATGTAGTTAGTTCTCAAATATACTTATTGTTAAAAAATAAATAATATGACTTTCTCTTTCCTAATTGAATACCTTTTATTTCTTTTTCTTGCCTGATTGCTCTGGCCAGAACTTCCAATACTATATGGAATAGGAGTGGTGAGAGAGGGCACACTTGTCATGTGCTAGTTTTCAAAGGGAATGCTTCCAGTTTTTGCCCATTGAGTATAATATTGGCTGTGGGTTTGTCATAAATAGCTTTCATTATTTTGAGATACATTCCATCTATGCCTAGTTTATTAAGAGTTTTAGCATAAAGGGGTGTTGAATATTGTTGAAGGCCTTCTCTGCCTCTATTGAGATAATCATGTGGCTTTTGTCTTTGGTTCTGTTTATGTGATGGATTACGTATATAGATTTGCGTTTGTTAAACTAGCCTTCCATTCAAGGGATGAAGCTGACTTGATTGTGATAGATAAGCTTTTTGAAGTGCTGTTGGATTCTGTTTGCCAATATTTTATCGAAGATTTTCACATCAATGTTCATCATGGATATTGGCCTGAAATTTTCTTTTTTAGTTGTATCTCTGCCAGGTTTTGATATCAAGATGATGTTGGCCTCATAAAATGAGTTAGGAAGAATTTCATCTTTTTGTATTGTTTGGAATAGTTTCAGAAGGAATGGTACCAGCTCCTCTTTGTGTCTCTGGTAGAATTTGTTTGTGAACTCATCTGGTCCTGGACTTTTTTTGGTTGGTAGGCTATATTAATTACTGCCTCAACTTCAGACCTTGTTATTGGTCTATTCAGAGATTCAACTTCTTCCTAGTTTAATCTTGGGAGAGTGTAAGTGTCCAGGAATTTATCTATTTTTTCAAGATTTACTGGCTTATATGCATAGAGGTGTTTGTAGTAATCTCTGATGGGACCTCTTCAAGGGAACTACACACCAATGCTTAAGGAAATAAGAGAGGACACAAACAGATGGAAAAACATTCTATGCTCATACTTAGGAAGAATCAACATTGTGGACATGGCCATACTGCCCAAAGTAATTTATAGATTGAATGCTATCCCCATCAAGCTGCCATTGACCTTCTTCACAGTACTGGAAAAAAACACCTTAAACTTCATATGGAACCAAAAATGATCTCACATAGCCAAGACTATCCTAAGCAAAATATTCCCTGATTAATAAATGGTGTTGGGGAAACTGGCTAATCATATGCAAAAAGCTGAAACTGGACCCTTTCCTTACACCTTATACAAAAAATTAACTCCAGATGGATTAAAGATCTAATATAAGACTGAACACCATAAAAACACTAGAAGAAAACCTAGGCGATATCATTCAGGACATAGGCATAGGCAAGTACTTCATCACTAAAACACCAAAAGCAATGGCAACAAAAGCCAAAATAGACAAATGGGATCTAATTAAACTTAAGAGCTTCTCCACAGCAAAATAATCAATAGAGTGAACTGGCAACCAAGAGAATGGAAAAAAAATGTTGCAATCTACATATCTGACAAAGGGCTAATACCCAGCATCTACAAAGTACTTAAAAAAATTTACAAGAAAAAAAAACAACCCCATCAAAAAGTGGGTGAAGGATATGAACAGATACATTTCAAAAGAAGACATTTATGCAGCCAACAAGCATATGAAAGAAAGCTCATCATCATTGGTCATTAGGAAAATGCAGATCAAAACCACATTGAGATACCATCTCATACCAGTTAGAATGATGAGCATTAAAAAATCTGGAGACAACAGAAGCTGAAGAGGATATGGAGACATAGGAACACTTTTAGACTATTGGTGGGAATGTAAATTAATTCAACCATTGTGGAAGAGAGTGTGGCGATTCCTCAAGGATCTAGAAATAGAAATACCATTTGACCCAGCAATCCCATTAGTGGGTATATACCCAAAGGATTATAAATTGTTCTATTATAAGGACACATGCACATGTATGTTCATTGCGGCACAGTTTACAATAGCAAACACTTGGAATCAGCCCAAATGCCCATCAATAATAGGCTGGATAAAGAATATGTGGTACATACACATCATGGAATACTATGCAGCCATAAAAAAGGATGAGTTC